TCCTTGGTTTAAAAATCGCATTAATTGTTTTGTATTTGGTTATGGTTTAGATGTGTTTTTGAACTTGGTCTTACAATATTTGGACAATACACAACAAAAGGTTGAAGGAAACAAAAGCGGGTTTAAAAAGCCTCAGGAAATTACCAGAACCAGCATCCATTGTTCATATATAATTGATGTTACCATGGTAAATAGCTTACCAAACATTGTTGCTGCGTTTCCTCAATAGGGAGTCTCTTTCACCTAGGCGTGCCACGGCAAAATAAGACTAAAAACTATGGTTAATATTTAATAAATGATGATAATAACGACAGGGGGCACATATCTTGTGTATTTATCTAGTTTTAATTTGCGATAATGTACTGCCCTTGATATATTAATGTAATGATACTTTCACAACAATCTCATCAAAATCATCTAAACTAGGATTTCTGTCACCATTCATTTCTATAAATTTATTGATCTTGTATAAAAGGTGATCTGCTGAGAATGAGAAGAATAAATGGCACTATTTTCATACGCTTATCCAATTATAACCAGGAATCAATGTAAATCCATCAAGCGATTGTATAATGAAATATAGCAGGAGATAAATGAAAGGACCGCTACCAAATGGAATTGTAAAATATAAGTTGGCGTCTATCGTATTCGTACTAAGTTTATGACAAATTCTGTAGGTCTGTAGTTGAACAATATTTTACACAAAAAAGTCAGATTGAGATATTAAAAATTTAATAATATGTCTGATAACATTAGATAATGGGCCATTCAAACTCGTATTTCACATTGTTGGTTCCATCGTTCCTAGAGTTTTATGCCCACTTCCACCAAGGGTGATATTGTAGAGTAATCATGTTTATGTAAGGATCCAGAGAATAGTACAGATTTGACCTTTTATAATTACCCAATGGTTGAAAGTTGAGCCATTTGAAAATGGTTAAAAGGGTCATGTTGCTTGTTTTTACTTATATTGAGTGACCTGATAAACATGACTAACACACTAATGCAAGCTTCTAGGTATACTTATCCAGACAATTGTTGACAGTGACACATGAAAACAATGCATGTTACCAGGATAAACTCTTCAAAGTAAGGGGCTTCAGACAGAATTACCCGGTTTTATTCATTGAAATACACCAGGGACAGCTCCTTTAAAACCATTCTATGATGAAAAATAGCAGGATGTAAATGTATTATTCTAAAATGATATCCTATTCTTCCATGATAACATCAAATTATACTCCTACCATTATTCCTAAAACTATATCCTTATCTAAAATAAATAACATCAAATTATACACTTTCAATTTCTAGCTCAGCATCAAACATGTTATTTTAAGAATTATATGTTTCAGCTCTATTTTAGGACATCAAAGTCAATTTGAATTGATGATGCTGTCTGTTGTTACATATTAATTTTGATATAATATGCAAAATTCTGAGGAAAAAAAAATAGTAGTGGTATCGGGTGTTCTAGAAAGATTTGGGGTTAGTAGCTTTGGTTTTTTTTAGTTCATGGGGCCTAATTTCTAAGTCTTGGTCCTGGGTTTGGTACGTGACAAGTAGTAGTGACATCTACATGTACCTAACCTAGTTCCATCTCGGTTTTATATGCGTCAAATCCTAACTATTCCAGTTTATTTCCAATTTTAAAGAAGCACAAGTGCTTATTTGAAATGTCTAGTTCTAATTTGAATGATAGTTTGGACTTAAGAAGTTGAGGCAATATTTTTTTTTTTGCTGAAATGAAAATGTGTTCCTTGAATTCATTGTTAAAAGCATTACCCTTTTCTGTAATGGCAAAATTCACCCATTTTGAATTTACCTGTAGTTGGAGAATGACCCAGACGTAAAATTTAATCAGGGAATGACCTAGACAGAATTGTGATGAGACATTAAAATGTCTGCACTTTATTATAAAACCAATAATTTGAGAGATAATCATTGGAAATTTAATATTATTAGGTAATTTATTTAACATGACAATTAGACAAATAGGTGCTTTCAAACAAAATACAACAAGTTGACAGTAATGATGAAATATACTGGTAGCCTGTTAAAAATTTGTTTGGATTAGTGGTTCTACTTCATATGGTTTGTCTAGATGCAAACTTTGTGTTGTCACATAAATTTAAGAAGGGTTGCTTGCCTTACCTCATGAGAGTCCCGGTGGCTCAACAAAAAAGGCTGGATTTTGGGGGTGGTTTCCCCTTGGTTGGTTCAGAAAATTTGGATGTTTGAAATGAAAAAGAAAGCATATTAAGTTGGAACGGTCAACTTGTCCAATCGAAATGGCAAACAATAGGACGTTAAACCCTATTTCCTTTTATTTCCACTCGAAAAGATAGCTGCAGTAGTTTTAAAAGCATTATATGCGGTATAGAGATCATCTTATATATTGCATGACCCAACTTCATTAGCCAAGTCAGAGCAGAACAGTAGGACATTAAAACCCCATTTCATTTCATTTCATTTATATTGCATGTTAGTACAACTTTAGGTTGAAATAGGGAATTTTCTTGAAGTAGTACTTTTCACTCCTATTCAACTGTAAGTTAGGTGATAAAAAGATAGTATTTGTGTTATTCTCAGTTTAATTAAAAGGAACAAATAGTTTTATTACAAATGAAATGAAATGAAATGGGCTTTAATGTCCTACTGTTCTGCTCCGAACTGGGCTAATGAAGACGGGCATACTACGCCATACAGTGTGCTGTGAGGGAAATTTTGCCCAGACAGCTGCACTACGGCCTGCTCTTATAATGAATTCCAACTGTCAAGGGATCTTTTACGTGCATGCTAATGTGTACATGGGACCTCGGTTTTTCATCCCATCCGAACCACTAGACAGCTCTCCTTTTCAGGCCCTCCGTCCTGCATCACTGACAAGGGTTCCCACCCTGGAAAATCGGGATGAACTTTCTCGGCCAATGCAGGGATTACAATATAATTAATATACTAAATTATACCGGTACTACTATTAATGCTCTCACCCTCCTCGGCTTGGCTGAAATAAAATTTGGGAAAGCTTTTATTAAATGCTTTATCCTATCAAACAGGTCTCCTTAACTAATCAGTTTCTCCACCTGGTAAAAGTAAAGTATATTGTACGATGTCAGAATTGACCATTTTTATCATCTATAAAAATTATGGACTGTAATTCCTTGAAACTTATACATATATGGTGAAGCAATGGATTCATGTAAATTGAATATTAATGAGGTGCAGCGCATAACATGTCTTCACAATACAGCCTTGAAGGTTGTCATGCGTCAGTGATTGTTAATAAAGATTTTAAATTAACTGTAGGTTAATTGTATTTGACATTAGTTATAGGTATATAAATAATATCTATATTTCATCTAGACCAACGATTTTCTAAACCAGAACAGGTGTGAAATTATTTAAGTGGGTGTGTCCCCATTCAATGATTGCATTTTGTTGAGTTTTTTCAACGAAAATCTACTCTCAATTTAATACCTTATTGAAAATAGGCATTACCCCAAAATAAGAATCTGGCTTACAAATTTGTTCATCAAAAACAATCTCTAAAAATGGATAGGTTAAATTGAGGGTAACCACAAGCGATAGTTACATTTTATTTGCTCACTTGTAAAGCAAATTTAAAAATGTCTAAATTTAAAATTGACATGTTGCAAAACTGACATTAAACAAACTTACTAACATCCAAAGTTCAAGTTTTACAATATAATTTTTAGCTATGTATTTTTTCAGACAAAGCAAACAAAGACACAATTACTTATTTTAGAAATATCATGTAATATAAAAACAAGCTTATGTATAATTAAAGTTTAAAAGTATAAAAAGAAGAGTTATGATTACAGTTAAAAAATAATATAAAAAAATATGATTACAGTTCAACATGAAATTACGATTACTGTTCAAAATTTAAAAAATTACGATTACAGTTCAAAATAATTAAGATTACAGATCAAAATAAAAATCATTGCTTGGAACTAGAATTGGTTAACTCTTGTTACAAACAAGGGTAAGATATGGCGAGGTTGGGTGGCTGAATGGTTAGCGTGCGCTCGCTGTGTCGTAAAGTCTGTCATTGAGTCGACTGGCATGGTTTCGAATCCCCGGTTGTATGTGACAAGGAGTAAGGTCGGCTGTCTAACCTCGTGGGTTTTCTCCGGGTCCTCCGGTTTCCTCCCACTACTAAAGACCCCTATGCGCAAGCAAATTATTGAAATAAAATTAAACCATATGTTAGTCCCGAAATGACCTAGTTTGTGTCGAGTGGACGTTAAACCCCATTTTTCTCTCTCTCTCTAGGGTAAGATATGTACTAATTCTGAAATCCCCCTCCCTAAATTCACTTATATTACCAGTTACTGGTATTGCCTAGAAGATACCAGTATATCTTATTGCCATTCATTGAATAAAGTAAACAAAAACATTAATTTAGAGCAAGTCCTAAAATTGAAAACATTATTTCACAATATATTATAGGCATTTCTTACTTCTCGAGGCAAACTCCTATTTCAGTAAATAAATTACTGAATTTCCATTCACTTATTGTTCAAATTTTTTGAAGCATATTACATGAAAAAAAGTCAACAATTTTGATGAAAAGAACTCCATACCAAAAAGCTGCCTCAGTTTTATGCAACTAGTTACAGATGAGTGATTAGTGATTGTTGACACGCTTGAATGAATGCTGACAGTTTGAGATATAAATTTGTATGATAAGTCCATTTAAAGTAGAGATATAGAGAGGAAATACCATAGAAATAAAGCCAGTATTTTGGGGGTGAAACTGAGTACCTGCTGTTTGATCTAACAATAAGAACAGGTCACCTGACAAGTTTTTTTGTTCTGGGCATTGTCATGGGTGGCTGGCCTTGCCCTCTTAACACATTGTATTACTCTACCCCTGAGGCTGCTAGCAGATTAGACCATTCTACTCTTCTTGTTTCATTCTCCTATAGTTATAGATGTTAGTGTGATGGTAGTACAACTAGTGTGTAGCTGGTTTGTAAGATCAAATTGTCCGCCTTACTTTTCTCACTGTATGTTGACAGTATTACATGCTCAACAGTTCTATGAGATTGAGTAAATGTGGTCACATGACAACTGCCTGTCTTTGTTTGTTTAGAGCAGTTATATAGAGAAGATATATTGTCAATATTGACTTGTGTTATCCATTACTTGATGCCTGGACAGTGTTCAATAGGCGACTAGCAGAGACAACGGACAGATCAACATTATTAAACTAACGGGAGTACGAGTGATTGAATCAACAGCCACTATCTGAGTGAGTGGTTTCTTGTCGCAAGGGTCATTTGACACTGTGAATCTGACTTGGTGAAAGCAGGGCAGAAATTCTTAACTGCCAGCAGTCCTAATGCTACTTTGATCATTGACACATTATGTATGTATGTTGGAATCCTTATGTTCAGCAACCGACCTACGTTCTACCGACACAACAACCCTCTCCGTTACCCAACCCTTTAGCAGCGGTCACACCTACCCCGACCCCACAGGAGTTACTTGTGTCAGTCCCAACCCAACAGCCTGTAATTGCTCCAGTTACTCTTAGTCGCAAGGTAGGAAACAATTTTCTTCTTAATTCCATGTTTATGTTAGATATTACAGTATGACGGCTGGTATAAAAGACAGATATATTATTTGTATTTATTGTGTTTTGTACGTCATCACTGATTACTCCTTCTCTTATGTATTATTTATGACTAAAATAATCACAATATTCAATAGTCTAGACTTGATTCAATATTAAACGCTTGGTGAATAATAACGTTTAAAAGATGGTTAGTTATAAGATTTTATTCTAGAAGCTAGGTATGTGAAATGATTGAAGCACGTGAATAGAAGTATTGTTTATCTTGTATTATATTCTACTTTTGTCAAAGCAATCCGAAGAGAGACAGGTGACTATAAAAAAATACAATGAACATAACAGTCATTCGGTATTCTTTTCCAAGAGTTCTTTTTTTTAATTCAGAATTTCAGAATTTTAAGTTTTCTCTTTCCTCAAACTGAACAATGTTATAAGACTTATCCCTGTGATTACAATAAACATTATAATTTAACAAGGGTTTTTTGTATTAAAAATTCAGAATTTTACTCTATTGAACTGAACATGGTCATAAAAAACAATCATTTGATAGTTCCTATAAACCTATCCTGTGGTGAAGTATAATTTTCACAAAGTTGTTTTGTTTTTTTGTTTAGTATTGATATGGTTGATGAGTTTTGTATCAACAAAGGGTTTAGTATCTTTCATATTTGGTGTTTTGTAAGCGAGGACACCTTTGTATAAATGTGCTCAGGCTTAGAAGATGTTTCAACATGATATTTTTCTTCCTTTAAAAACATTTTTAGACTAGATATTAAACTAAGACTTTGTATCCAGTGTTTGCTGTTGCAGTTTATATATTCAGAATTTTTCATGTATCAAGAAAGGCTGGCCTTATTAAAACTGAGACCTCTGGCGCTGTTGATATTTAACCCACCCTCTTAAAGTGTAACTCAAGTGTGTTGGCCATTTATTTAATTAACAAGGTATATTTTGAAGTACTAGTTTAAAATTAGATTATATTGAATTTGGTTTTACTATGAGTTACAAGTAACACATGGCATGTATAAAACATAAAAGTAGTTAATTTTCATTCATACAGCTACTGTTTTCTTTATTCAATCAACTGGCTTTACAAATCAACATGAGAACCTGGCATATTTTTGTTCATTTTCCAGCTGTTGCTTACTCCATCACTGACTGCAATTTGATATTTAGCACATACAATAGATAGTAAAAACCCCTGCTGAACAAAGACATTAAATGGCCCCTTGAATTAATCTCACTCAATGTCGGAACCCACATATTAGCACCTGTTGTCCTTCCACCATATATGTCTGACAGTAGAACTTATGTCATGTTGACTATATAGCCTATCATGATGAACACAGTATGTAGAGAATTACTTAGTAAACTCGATAAATTGTTAGGTTCTATATACTGGTACAGGAATACCATGATTAAGATATTTGACTAGGATTAGGCAGGGTGATTAAGTTGTTTAGTATGGATTAGGATAGTTAACATGTTATTGAACAGGTCTAACCATATGCCTCATGGATCATATCACCTTTCTAGAACGTAACCCAAACAAATAGATATTTTATAGTTGGGTGATGTGAAACTGAAATAGATTATTACTTCAATCGCTTTGATTTTCATAGATAACAATATTGTTAATATCCATCTTCTATAATATCTCTTGTCACTTAATGTGGAGGTTTATAAAGGTCGATGATAAGCACATGTTTCCTTCTTCTTTGTGTATTTAGTTAACAATGGTGTTTCCACGTGAAACTGACAAAAAGTCAGATTGGGTATTCTCCCCCTGCATATGTCTCCTCTTATCTTTATTGCTGAATCAATTATTTTACCCAAGACAATTTCCAAAATACTGCGTAACATAACTTAAAGATGCTTTGTATAAGAGGTAAATCTACCTGTTACAGGTCTTTTTTTTTTTTTTTTTTTAGCTTCAAATGTTTTATAAATTATTATTTATCCATTTATTCACATGACAAAGTCCATAGTCGAAGCTCTGGGCTATCAGATGGCTTAGATATTGAATGGATTAGAACGCCTTCGTCATTTAATAATTTTACAATAGAATGGATAATCAAGACTTTGTTATAGTAGCAGTGGAATTTGACAACTGAGAATATCTTGTCAAAATTTTAAACTCTCATAACTTGACTCAAAATAAGTAATTTGACTGAAATTTTCAATATTTTCATTTCTGATTGTCTATTTTTAAAATTTTGAACCATTATAGCAAGAACGACCAGCTCTTTATCTCTAAATCAATCTTACATAATGCATCTTTAATAGGAAGGTTTTTAGTCATCTATAAAAATTACAGTTGATCCCACTTCTACTTGGTTGTAGATATAATCAGTTTACCAGTTGCCCGTATTTACTTTCAATAACAAACATTATTCATAGATATACTGGTATCCTGGAGATAGGCAGCCTGAGTGATTACAACATATATTTTGCGTGGCAACAGTCTTTTTGAATTACTTAAATTAAACGTACGTGGTACATGTTTATCCTTGTTTGCATAGAAACAGTCTTGTTATATAAATTGTGTTGATTCGAGATTTCAAGCCTAATTTTAGGAAGATTTTTTGTTTATTATCGGTTTGCTTCCAGAGTGTCAAAATTCATTAATGATTGTGTAATATTGTAGTGGGTATAATAATAATTCTCATTCTACTGTGTCATTACAATTACTCCATCTCATATCACATGATTAATTTGTATGAGGATAAGATATTTATTGCACAAAAACATTGGTTAAAGGCACAACAAGACAGATCGTTCACATAAACTTATATCTCATAATTATTAATTTCGAGAAGGTTCTTCTGTAATTATGTAATGAGTAGGCCTATATATAAAAAAAATCTCACGAAGAATGAGATCGATTCCACATTCCTGATTAACAGGAAGGGTTGGCGCCCTCTTACTCTTAATCCCTCACTTTGTTTGCAAGCGATTTATTATATTATATTTATATTATAAGTTAGTCCCAATTTTACCTTGTCACAAACAAGATGCCAAAACAAGAACGACAATAGTGGACATAAAGCTAAAGAAAGCAAAATGAAAGGTTTCAACTGGTATTGATTTCCATAAAGTTTATCAAATGATATCTATTAGAATTGGTAATTTGAATATAAAGTATGTCGTTGATCCTATGACATTTGGCACCCGATACGTTGATCCAAATAAAATTAATAATACCTGTGTTAGAAAAATATTAACGCTTGAAATAGATGTGCATGATGGTATTGATTTCTTAACATTATAAAGTTACATGTACTATGTAATAAAGAATTTGTTAAATATATATTTTAATAATAAAATTTAACTTAGCCTAGTTTCTACTCTTAACACTTCTTGGGTAGGAAGGAAAACTGTGTTGAATAGGATGAAAAATGTGCATTGACAGATTGAATTGGAAAAGGAAATTGTAAGGCAGCTGTCTGAATAATATTTTCCTCTCTTGTATTTAATTTGTCAGTCTTAAGTGTAAAATTTAAAAAAAAAAAATTTCAATTTTTTTGGGTGTAACATATATTCAGAATGCTTGCAGTGATTTCATAAATAGATCTGTGGATTGAAGTCTCCCACATGGTCAGAATAATTGTGTTTTGATTGGCTGTTTTTACATTGACATCAATATGAGGAATAACATTACAGGAATCGTGTACCATAATCCGTTTCAGCGCAATTTGTAGCAAGCGGCTCGGAGAACAAGGTTAAACATGTTCCACAAGTCATGTCAAACGGTGACCCCATATTCTTATCTGGAGAACGTGCGCAATAAATACTATCCTTGTAGACTAGAATAACCAGACACTAGAGATTGCCATTGGATTGAGACTTCTGGTGTATTTCGCCGAACATAACTGCTTTGAAATTAGAGTAAAAACGGAAACGATAGAATGTAAATCAGTTTATTTACATTCATATTACATTATTATATACGTTGCGACCCATTTGTGTCAATTTGTTGGTCCTAAATATTAGCGATTTAGCTCCTTTAAAATACGAGTAACCATGTTTTAGTCTAAAAATAACATGTATTGAAAAAGGAAATGGACGAAACAACCACATTCGTCATATACCCTGGCAATAGAACTAGTTTATATTTCTTCCTTATTTCTTTCTTTATATTGTATGAAACATACAAGTGTTTTGTTTGCTTAACCAAAGGCTTGAGTTTACAGAGAAAATACAAAGTAAAGGGTACATATAATGGTATTATAATACACATTTACTAGCTCAGTAGCCCTTAAAGGGTAAATAAATATAATTTTATTTTATTGTCATTCAGTGACATGCTCTGATCTACCAGTCCTTACTTAACTATAACTGTTTGATTAAAGATTCACAATGTTTTACGTTTTTCTCAATGATTTGTCAAAATTGACAGACCAATTTACAAGTCTTTAATTAATGTTTAGCACTTAATTATACCAAGTTAGACTTTCCAATTAGTTCCATGTTTATATTGGTTCACATATTAACACTTGTACATGATCTTTTTTTTTTAATATGTTATTCTTTGTGTATTGGGTTTAAGAGTTGGACAAGGTCTTAATTAATGTGATCATGTGTGGTCTTCTTTATACTGAATATATTGTATTTAATACAGAGCTAGACAAAGGGTTGAATATAGGGTTGGTGTTAAAAGCCTGACGCCCTTGATCACCTTCCAGGCTGTGGACTAATGAACCACCTGGGTTTTGCACTTACTGTCAGGTCAAGGATTCGATCATATAGTTTCTAAGACCAAGGTACAATTTTACAGATACACAATTAATGAATTATGTTTCGACAAGGATATTCTTGTCATTATCCAGGAAATAAAAACAAGAGTACCCTTGTATGCTTGATAAAGATGACAGTAGCCTGTCAAACATTGCATAGACATAAATTCAGTAATGTTGCACATGTATTTATCTGATTGTACCTTGTCTTAATAGTTACAATAACTAAATG